TTTGGGATAATTTTTAATTTCCCTTGTTTCCTGATAAGGGAACCTATTCATAAATAATTTTCAAAGGGTTTAAAGCACAACCCAGTTAGGGTTTAGGGTTTAGGGTTTAGGGTTTAGGGGTACTTATTAACCAACTATAACTGTACATACAACCCACTTATGAGTCCCTGAAGTGCCCTAATATGGATATACTTTGGGTTATAAGTACAGATATAATTGGTTAACAAGTACCACGAACTGTCAAGTACTTGGAAGCCCTTTTGACATAGTAGGGTTGGTAGGGCGGAATAGACTTACTAAGTCAAACGAGCTTCTGAGTATTCGGAGGTTCATGGTACTTCTTATCACCAAGTTACAACCGTCTTTGGGTTCTTTAATGCGGTCCCCAAGTGGCTTCTGAGTACACTTCTATTGGGTTCCACCCCAATTCCCCCCCCCCCCCGCCTTCTACGCCAGTCCAGTTCAAGCCGAAGACGCAAAACCCGAAGCTGTCGGGTAAACCTTGAGAACCCCGAACCCTAATCTCCTGAATCCCCTGAACCCCGAACCCTATATCCCAAAACCTTATACTCTTGTCCCGCCCCGTGGTTCAGCCAGCTGAGTTTGGCTACTCCTCTCCGTGTGTTTGGCGCGCGGTTGCGGCCGGCGGTGCTCGGCCGAATTCCCTCAACCTTGAACCGTACACCCTTGCTAGGTGGGGCCTTTGGAACCCTAAGCCCAAGACCCTAAACCCTAAACCCTAAACCCAATCATTTTTACGTCCCGTTTAGGGTTTAAGGTTTGGGGTTTGGGGTGTAGGGTTCAGGGTTAGGGTTCAATTCGGGTCTGGGGTTTAGGGTTTAGGGGCTTTGCATACTTTGAGGCTCTTTCGACTTAGTATGTCTACCTACTTAGTATTTCCTAGAAACCCTGTTAGAACATAACCCACCTTCAGAAGCTTCAGTACTAAGTCCAAAGCGTTTGGGTTTATAGTTTATAGTGTTCAGGGTTGCGAGATTCCGGTGTTAGTCGTGTCACGTGTATAGAACTGAGTTGGGGTTTTCCGATATCGGGGGAGGGGGTGGGGGGGGGGGGGGGAGTACCTTTTCGGGGGTCTTTGCTAGAAGGGGATCCCTATTTTGGGGCTTCTTTCGGGTCGAAGGAAAGTATGTTTGGCTTTAGGGTTCAGGATTGAGGGTTTAGGCTTCAGGGTTTAGGGTGCAGGGTTTAGGGTTTACTGTCGCTTAGTCTAGCCTTATGTCCGGCTTACTTGGGCAGATTACCCCTAAACCCCAAAATGATAGTTGGGGGGTTTCGAGGCTGTGTGCCAAATGGGTCATGTATCCCGTCTCCGCACAGGCCCAGAAAAATGGGTCCCGGTGAGGATTGCTGTGTCCGAGTTTCAGTTAACCCTAAACCCTTGCCAAACCAAATGCCAAATCTCAAGGATTATTAGGGCTCTTAAGGGAGGGGGGGATCGCGGGGGTATGCAACCCAAGGTTCCCTAATACTCCCTACCACTAAACCCTAAACCCTAAACCCTAAACCCTAAACCCTAAACCCTAAACCCTAAACCCTAAACCCCCTAAGGCTCCCAAGCTTCCCTTCTTTTGGAACTAGTGGGCAGGGATGAGGCTTCAGCCCCCAGCCCTTTTTGGTTTCCCGCACCCAGTTTGAGACAGCCAAGAGGGCCTAGTTTAGGGCTTCAATCCCCGTCTTTGGGTTCCAAACCCTAAACCCTAAACCCTAAACCCTAAATCCCTGTTTAGTGTACCCAACTGGGAAACGCTGTCTTCACACAGTTCCCATATCGTGGCCTTGGGGTCCGAACACATACAGTTGAGGCACCTTAGTCCCTGAGAGACGACCTGGAGATTGGGGTTAGGGTCTCATAGATTTAGGGTTTAGGGTTTAGGGTCTCATAGGTTTAGGGTTTAGGGTTTAGGGTTTAGGGGTTTAAGGGTTTAAGGGTTTAAGGGTTTAAGGGTTTAAGGGTTTAAGGGGATGAAGACGTGTTGAAATCAATCCTCCAGCTGCCGCGTGGCGACGCGAAGCGCCCACATCGTCCCCGCGCAGTTGAACTTCATTCATGGGTTTCCCTACTGCCCCTCTCTACACTAACCCGCCCCCCTCCAGGTTCCCCCAGAACTAAGGCTAAATTTAAGGCGAGTCGCGGGCGGAACCTAGGGGGGGGGGGGGGGGTAGGGAAACTTATATGGTGTTGCTTCCAACATGCCCCTTGGGCATGCGCCCTAAAAAAAGGAAACTCGGACGTATGGTGAAGTCCTTCTTTCTCGGTTTAGAGGTTAAGGGGTATGGGTTTAGTATGTTGAAGGAATCTTCGATGTTGCTTTTCTCAGTACTGCCAGGGCACATGCGATGGAGGTATACCCCTTACCGCTGTGCCCCGCGCCTCTGAAGCGGCTTTCACCCCGTCAATCCCACCCCTCCCTGTGTGACCAAATGAACTGCAACATTGGGGTCATAAAACCCTATACTACTACAATTCATATGAAGGTACATGAGCCCTAAGCCCTTTTAGGCTTCATGTCGTCCCCAAGGTTTTTCCGGACCCAAGAAACCTCAAAGATGCGTGGTGGATGCCGCTTTCATTGGTGCCGCTTGATACCCAAGTAGCCCCACAAGAGTCCCGCGGCATTTCGCTGTTCTCGTTTCTTTTAATTCACAAGAGTGTTGAGGGGTAAGGGATGCTGCCCTTGTTTCCATCACGGCACAGATAGCCTTGAGTAACATCGGCAGAACCAGACATAGAAACGGTTTAGGGTTTAAGGTTTAGGGTTTAGGGTTTAGGGTTTAGACATAGAAATATGAGACCTTGGACACACCTTGAAGTAGGGTTTATATTTCTGTTCTTGGTGGGTGTATATCAGGTTCCTTTTTCATATTGGTGGGTGTATATACCGGGTGTCCCTTTTAGATACAAGAAATACATACCCTACTGCACATAAGGCCACATCCCGATCTTCGAGTTGAACAACATGTAGGCTTGTGGCAGGGGGAATTTTAGGGTTTAGGGTTTAGGGTTTAGGGTTTAGGGTTTAGAGAACATTCAGGTACTCTCTTTTTCAGAGTATGAGAGAAGTAGGGTTGATGAAGCATTGTTTGAAGCAGTTTGAAACCCTTTTAGGGTCAAGTCGGTCGCCAGGATCTCCGGCGGGGTACATGGTCCCTTAGTATGGGCCCTTAAACGTGCGACCCCTTATATACCCCTTATACTTAAGGGCTCACACATCAGTTATACTTAAGGGCTCACACATCAGAACCCTTTAAAGGAGGTAAGAGACCATGTTGGTACGAAACTACCCTTAAGACAGGAAACCTTACCTCCTTTTAAAGGTTTCTGAAGTATGGGCCTTTGGGTTGTATAGGACGGGTACATAAGGGGTACCCTTTAGGGGCCGAGATTAAGGAACCATGTACCTAAGCCAAGGCAGGAACCTGTTTTTGCTGCCAGTTTGAAGTGGCCAGCTCCATGCACAGGCCGGCGCGCACAAACAGTTCCGTCTGCAACGACTTCAAATCTAAAGCCTATAAACGCTACTTGGGACCCTATTTACCTACAGTTCACTAGTAAGTACCCACCAAGTAGTAGGTATAACCCTTAACGTTTACAAAGCCGTAGGTGAATGGGATCCCTGGTAAACCCTGCAACCCTTGTGTCCAGAAAGCTGTGCCGAGCCTGTGAGCGATGTGACGTGCCTCAGCAAGATTTCTCGCCGACCTGGCTTGCGTGTGCTTTCCAAAAGCTGGAAGCCTCTTGTGTCGTAGGTGCATAGCAGGTAGCCCCTAACTTGTTTGGGCATGATAACCCCCCTTCAATCCCAAAGGGGACCCTAAACGCGGACCCCTTAAACCCGGTAGATCCTACTTGGAAGCCCTGGTGACTTAGGAAGTAGTGTTGGTGGGTTATGGGATTAAAGTTGGATTTCAAGGGGATACTAAGTAGATTCACTAAGCGAAAAGAGTTTTCTTGGAAAAGGAAGCCAGTCAGTTGTACATTGGGCACCCTGAACCCGAAAATCTAAGCCCTAAGCCCTGAGCCCTAAGCCCTAAGCCCTAAGCCCTCAGCTCTACACCCTAAGCCCCAAACCGCCCTTCCCAGCTGACGGGGTGAGAGGTTCTGCATACCTACCGTAGCTTCTTTTGAGTAAACAAAAAGCCCAAAACCCTACCCCCCCCATGGGCTTCATTCTTTGCATGCCTAGGGACGCCAGCCCTTGGGAATGGAGTTCCCAATGAAAACCAACAGTCGGCACCATGAGGGCTAGCTCAGATTGCTTCGTACTGGTGCGCTTCTAGGGGGTCTAAACCCTAAACCCTCAGCCCTCAACCCCAATCCAAAACCCTAAAAGCCCACGCGCGCCTCCCACACCTCGGTACCGTTTTCAGACGAATGCCCTGGTGAGGGTTTAGGGTATAGGGTTTAGGGTTTAGGGTTTAGCGTTTAGGGTTCAGGGGGGCCATGGTAACAGGTTTTTGACAGCTGGCATGACTTTTCGTCATTTTGCTCCAAGTAAGCGCCTCGAGGGTAGACTAGGCTCCACCTATAGTACTCTTCTCAGGAAGTACTTGGAAGCTCCAGGAACATGGCGAGTAGGTACCAAGCAATTAAGTTACTTGGGCACTCCTAATCGTAACCTGACTTCAATTCAATTCCCAGAATAGCACTGACTGGGTGCCAAACAAAGGCAGAGGTTGCAAGTAAGAATCCAGGCTACCCAGGCCCCCTCCCCAATGTCCGTGGTGTGTGTTTGGTTACTAGTGTGTGTGTGGTTAGGAAAGTAACATGCTGCATGACCATTCTGTATGCACACGTTGCACGATGGAACAAGTTCGCCCCTCTCCCCACCCCACCACCCACTCGCAGGCAAACCCTAAACCCCAACTCCCAACCCCTCGGTTACGAGCTTCTTTGTGTACTCATCTGCATTCGATAATTTTCCCTCGAACCGAACAAGACCCTTCATGCCACAAAACGCTAAACCTCGAACTTGCGACAGGTGCCATTGCAGCGGACATGTTCGTGGTGAGGACCGCTTCACAAAGCAGCCTTCCGTGTTTCTAAACCCTAAACCCTAAACCCTAAACCCTAAACTCCCCCCCCCCCCCCCCCCCCGGGCAGGTGACCTCTTGATATTCATCAGTTGGGGCAAACCCTGAACCCTACCTGGGACCCTATTTACCTACAGATTCTCAGCAAGTCCCCCTCCCCCCATTTAGTAGGTATAACCCTTAAAAAAGCTGTAGGTAAATAGGGTCCGAGGTAACCCTAAACCCTGAACCCTGAACCCTGAACCCTAAACCCTAAACCCTAAACCCTAAACCCTAAACCCTAAACCCTAAACCCTAAACCCTCGGGTCTTTGCTTCCAGCTGAAGTCATCAAAGTGAATGTCAATGGACGTGGGCGTCCCGCATGTGGAGACGCCAGCCCGTGCCACGCAGGGTGTACCAATTTGGGGGCTGGGCGCAAGGGGGATGCACGCTCAAAGGTCCACCCTAAACCCTAAACCCTAAACCCTAAACCCTAAACCCTAAACCCTAAACCCCAAACCCCAAACCCCTGAGCCACGAAAGAGCTTCTAAGCCAGGAAGGGCTCAAAGGTCAACATCTCCGAGGCCGAGTCGCACCGTTTCGGCGGAGCGGTGCCTCGGCGCCTCAAGGGTTGAGGGTTTGGGGTTTAGGGTGTAGGGTGTAGGGTTTAGGGTTTAGGGTTTAGAGTTTAGGGTTTAGGGTTTAGGGTGTAGGGTCCAGGATAGCAAGTGTTGCATTAAGGGTTGTGATTTTCGGGTTTATGAGGCTTGTAGGGTTTCAGGGGGTCAGAGGCCTTATGGGCTTGGTTTACAGGGTTTTGCGGGTTTAGGGTTCAAGGTTTAGGGGTTTAGCGGACCTTTACAGGGTTTTCAGTGTTTGCCAGTTTGGGCTTATGGGGTTTATAGGGCTTTAGGGCGTTACAAGGTTGCGCACAGGGCCCATAGGGTTGAAGTGGGATCTGCGGTTAAGGGTTTAGACCAAAACCCTAAACCCTGGTGGGACATCCGTGTCATCGCGTAGGGATCCGCGGCGAAACCTACACCCTAAACCTTCAAACTATCACCTGATGAATCACATCAACGGTCCCAGAAAAAACACAGCCCCGAAATCCTACAACCCCCACGCACCCTAAACATACCTTGGGGGCTAAATACCAAAATGGTTTATGGTTCACTTTACCTCTTAATTTGGAATTAAAGTAGTATAGGGTATATGACCCCTAAACCCGAAACCCTTGACCCTGGACCCTAAACCCGAAACCCCAACCCCTCCCCCCTTTTTTAGGGCTCATGTCGAATCTGGTCCCCAAGAAAGCTAAACCCTAAACTCTCAACCCTAAACCCTAAACCCTAAACCCCAAACCCCAAACCCTAAACCCTAACCCTAAACCCTATAAGCCCTAAGCCCCTCAGCCCCTAGCGCAGCGAGGTCAGCTCGGCACGTCGCCTCGTTGTGCAGTATGGCTCGGAGGTGGCCCTATGCTTCGAAGGGGCCTGTGCTTGAGGTTCCCTAAGGGTTTAGGGTTTAGGGTTTAGGGTTTAGGGTTTAGGGTTTAGGGTTTAGGGTTTAGGGTCTGAGGTATTTACCCCCTCCCCCCCACCCCCCTTCCCGGGTCACGGTCCGTTGCCCTCAGAAGATTCGGGTTTCGAGTTTGGGGTTTAGCTGGGGTTTAGGGATTGTGGTCTGGGGATCAGGGTTTAGGGGTGCGGGCTTTCGGTTTCCCAAAAGATTCAGGGTCGTATCCGTAAGGTTGTACCCTTGCGTTCCGGGATTCGTCTGGTGCCGATTAACAGGTTGTATTGGGGGGAGCCTTCTAGACTACTATCTGCTTAAGAAGCCCCGCCAAAAAAAAGAAAGCATCAGAATCCCTATAGATCACCCTTTCTAAGGAATGACGTACATGGACCCCTAAACCCTAAACCCTATAAACCCTATAAACCCTATAAACCCTATAAACCCTATAAACCCTATAAACCTTAAACCCTAAACCCTAAACCCATAGGGTTAGGGGTACAACCCTGGAGCCGTTGAGGTTCAGGGGTCGTTTCACTGCGCACAAAGAGAGGGGTGAGACTTGCCCTCCTTCGACTGCACTGTAGACCCCTAAACCCTAAACCCTAAACCCCAAACCCCAAACCCTAAACCCTAATTCCTCAACCCTCAACCCTCAACCCTCAACCCTCAACCCTCAACCCTCAACCCTCAACCCTCAACCCTCAACCCTCAACCCTCAACCCTCAACCCTCAACCCTAACCCGGGCTTTAGTTTCAGATCCAGGATTCGGGCTCTTGGGGCCTGAACCTAACTAGCGACCCTGGGCTCCCTTAATTCAGGGGCTTAGGGTTTGTGGTTTAGGGTTAGGGTCTCTATACTACCCCGCCCCCCCCCCCCCCCCCCCAGGTTCCCCCAATAATTAAGGCTATTTAGGCCTGATTAAGCCTAATTTAGGGGGGAACCGGGGGTAGTAAAGAGGGGGTAAGTAGGAAAGCCCATGAAGAGTATGTACAAAGGTCCCCATGGCTTGAGGAACGCACCTCAGTCAAAATACTTTGAAATTGCTCAAATATCCAGCTTTGGGGGGGTCACATGAGCCCTACAAGGGCTTATGGTTCGGTACCCTCTTCGGGATTCTGGTAGTATAGGTTACATACTGCCAGTTTTGGGGCTCATTTGCTTCCATGGTTAAGGGGTTACCCTAAACCCTAAACCCCTTTCTATAGGGTTCTGATGTACGGGCCCTTATCTTGCAGAGGGTATTTCAGGGGCATTCCTTTTAAGAGCCCATTCTAAGGGACCATGGAACTACCCTAACAGAGCCCCAAACCCTAAACCCTAAACCCTAAACCCTAAACCCTAAACCTTGGTATAGTATACAAGGGGTCCCCCTTTTAAGGGCCCATGCTAAGGGAGGTGCCACCTCCCGACAGGTCAAGATCACCAACTGCTCCGCCGAAGCTCCCGGCCACTTTGCAAGCACGGCCGACCAAGAAGCTGAACCCCCCCCCCCCCCCCCCGCAAATTTCGTAGGTCACTAGGGTTTAGGGTTTAGGGTTTAGGGTCAGGGTTTAGGGTTAGGGTTAGGGTGAACCTCACCTCTGACTCCAACTTGGTAGCTCAGTGGTACCCTGTACTCTTTTGTTGTTTCTGGGTTCACGTATAAAGTGACCAAGCCAAAACCCCGCAAGTTCGTAGGTCATAACCCCTTCAGACTTGGCATACCCCCCCCCCCCCCCCCTATTTTTTCTTCGGGGGCATGTCTTTCGATTTCCCGACTGCGGCCCTTGAACCCTAAACCCTAAACCCCAAACCCCTAAACCCTAAACCCTAAACTCATCCCTGCAGCCCCCAATCTTGAACCCAGGGGCGTCCTGAGACAAGATGGTCACTTCTCGAAATTATGGTGGCTTTTGGGGGTTTCACCTCTAAGGCGGCCCCTAATGTCTAGTGTACCCAAGAAGGCACCATAGTTTTGAGAACCTTAAACAATATAAACCCTAAACCCCAACCCCTAAACCCAATTTCTGAAGCCCTAGAAGCGCAAGGGACTGAAGGAGGGTCCCTTATAAGGGACCTTAGGCGCCACATTGGGGCTACTGGGGCATATGGGACGATATAAGGTATACATTTGGGTTACATAGCGGAAGAAGATTAAGGACCCCTTCTAGGGGTCGTCTTCGTATATCCATGAATAAGCTTCGTGTGTTGGGGAAATCTCTGGGCTAGAGTAGCCATGTCATCCAGGACCCTCAAGCCTCCAGGTCGTTCCATGTACGCACAAGTAGATTATAGTAGATTCAGGGTGCGGGGTTGGGGTCTAGGGTTTACCCTAAGCCCTAAACCCTAATTACCGACGGAGGGCGGGATTCTGTCTACGACTAGGGTATGTAGGGTTTAGGGCCCCTAAACCGAAACTCCAAAACCTTAAACCCTAAAGCCCAAACCCTAAACCCCAAACCCTAAACCCTAAACCATACGTGTCAGACAGGCGGTGGAGGAATCTTTGCTTTCAAGATCGAGGTGAAGAATGCGTCGATTGAGTCTTGGAGATCAAGGTCCCACTTAGCCCCTAAGCACTTAGTTAGGGTTTAGTGTTTAGTGTTTAGGGTTTAGGGTTTAGGGTTTAGGGTTTAGGGCTTAGGGTTTAGGGTTTAGGATTTCACATTATCCTGAGGGCTTAGTGTTTGGGATTTCATACCCTTAGCTCCCTATACGTTCGGTTCTGAGTAGGTAACCTCTTGCTCCTGGGTTGTTCTTTTATCCAAAGGCCAAGAAACCTAAAGCTGAGACACATGTCAAAAGCACTATATACCTGGGAATCTTTTTGGGAGTTTACGAAAATAGGGGGAGCTAACTGTAGACCCAAATAGTAGTATTCCCTTATAATACGAACCCCAATATGGACCCCCCCCCCCCAAAAAAAAAAAAAAAAAAAAAAAAAAAAAAGGAAGCCCCCATTTACCTATAGTTTAGTACTAAGTACCCCCTAGTTCGTAGGTATAGAACTTGCAATATAAAACCCTTGTAAAACTGTAGGTAGATTAGGGTCCCAGAGGTAAATCCTCAACCCCAAGGCGTTGCTGGGCCCTCCTCCCCGGAGAAGGGTTTCGGGTTTAGGATTTAGGGTTTAGGGTTTAGGGGTTACGTAGGGTTTAGGGTCTATAGGGTCTAGGGTTCAGACCCAGCCTCATCAAGTTCATATGCCAGCACCACCACTTGGTTCTCCTGCGAGAGTGTGATTCCACAATGCTGCAGCAAGCTGCTGAATGCCAAGTAGCAGCCGCAGCAGGATGGAGGCTTGCAATGCAAGTTAAGGGTCTAGGGTTTAGGGTTTAGGCGGTTTAGGGTTTAGGGTTTAGGGGTGGATCTTGGACAAAGAGGATTCATCCGCTCTTTGTTGCGAATATGATCACTATTCCCAATGCGCTGTCTCCAAGTCGAACATCAAGGGATGTCGACTCGTACCCCGAAGGTTGTACCATGGCCCTTATACTGCCTTAAGGATTTCCGAAAGGTTCCCCCAAACACAAGGGTACAACCCTAAAGAACCCCAACCCCCAAACCCTAAATCCTAAACCCTAAACCCTAAACCCTAAACCCTAAACCGTGAAGGGTCCAAGGTACAGGCCCTAAAGAACTCCCATCGGGTGGTTTGGAGCCCGTGGCAACCTAAGATCGTGGAGCGCAACTCCATCGAGCTGGCGGCAACTCCTGGTTTAGCGTTTAGGGTTTAGGGTTTAGCACAACCCCGTATAACAGCCCTCAAACCCTTACAATAAAAAACGCTGAATGCCCTAAGCAGCCTGAATCCAGACAACCCCTAAGAAGCTCAAAAGATCCAAGCCCTCAATACCCTGAACGCCTGCAACTCCTGTAAACTCAACTACTACTTGCTTAAGAACCCCCGCCCCAAAAAAAAAGATCATCCTTCTTATAACTCCAATGTAGGGATTTTCATGTTTTGTCTTGTTTGGGGGTTCTTAAGAGCAAATAGTAGCCAAAATGCCTCTGTAATTCCCCCATTCCTCACAAAGCCCAAAGCACCCTGACCTCAAACAAATTAAACAAAGCACTCGGACCTTTAAGATCAACGTCCCTAAGCCCTAAACCCTCAACCCTAAACCCTAAACCCTAAGCCCTAAGCCCTAAACCCTAAATACTCAACGTCCTCAAAACCCGAAAGGAGCCTCAAGTTGTGGGCCCCAGCGCCCTTTCCGAAGTGAGGATGTCCGGCGCAGCTTCAGTACCAGCGTCAAGGGACTAGGCCCGTCGATGGGGGTGTAGGGTTGCTGGCTGACCTGAGTGGTTTAGGGTTTAGGGTTCAGGGTTTAGGGTTGGGGGTTAAACCTCAACCCTAAAAACCCGAAAAGCAAAATGTCCTAAACCAAGTCCTGAAACCCAGGTAGGCTTTAGGAGTTGGTGTATCTGGCAGTGTACTTAGGGCTTCTAGGGTTTGAGGTTTAGCGTTTAGGGTTTGGTGTTTAGGGTATGGGTTCCCTCAACCCTTTGCCCCGAATCCCCCCCCCCCCCCCCACATCGCAAACCCTCCCCAGACAAGCCCTTAGTGGTAGACCAGCGTTTGGCACACGGTTTTATAGACCCTAAACCCCAAACCCTAAACCCTAAAACCCTGAACCCTAAAGCCCTAGAAACCCTGTAAACCCTCTAACCCCTAATCCTAAACCCGAAACCCTAAACCCTTAAACCCTTAAACCCTAAACCCTAAACCCTAAACCCCCAAGTCTCTCCGAGCAGGCGGCTGCCTCTTCGTCAGCAACAGCCTCTTTGTGCGAGGCCGGCCCTGATTCGGTTTTGTGGGTTTCGGGCCCTGGGGTTCAGGGTTCAGGGTTTAGGGTTTAGGGTTTGGAGTTTGGGGTTTAGGGTTTGGAGTTTGGGGTTTAGGGTTTTTAGGGTTTGGGGTTTGGGGTTTCTAGTGTTTACGTTTTATATAGAAGGTTTTTGAAGGGTTGATCTGATTTCCATGCCATTTAAGTCAGGAATGTTCCGGGATTTGGTGCCCCCGAAGCCATGAGAGGAACATCCCTAAACCCTAAACCCTAAAGCCCAAAGCCCAAAGCCCAGAGAGGACCCATGATTCACCCTTGGCCTCCTACAGAGGGACTGGTACCTCCTGGGGTCTCAACCCCAAATCCTAAAACGTCGGGTTGAGGGGAATTTAGGGCGATTTAGGGCGATTTAGGGTTTAGGGTTTAGGGTTTAGGGTTTTACCTGAGGAATTTTGTAGGTTGCCGAGCATTAACATTCAGGGGACTTTAATGGGAACCCCAAACAGGGCACCCCAAGGATATTATAGGTTTAGGTTTTAGGGTTTAGGGCTTAGGGTTTAGGGCTTAGGAGTTAGGGTTTTGAGTTTTTAGGGTTTAGGGTTTATTTAGGGCAAAGTTGAGCCCTGCCTGCAGCGAAACCCACACCCCTCAACCCTAAACCGTAAAATTCCAAAAGCCAGAAATACCCAACCCCAACATGTTTGCACAGGGTTTAGGGCCTAGGGTTTAAGGGTACAGGCTTGCGGGTTTAGGGTCCTCGGGGTCTAGGGGTCTAGGGGTCTAGGGGTCCAGGGGTCTAGCGGTCCAGGGGTCTAGGGGTCCAGGGGTCTAGGGGTCTAGGGGTCCAGGGGTCCAGGGGTCCAGGGGTCCAGGGGTCTAGGGGTCTAGGGTTTAGTTAGATAAGCCACAGGCGGCTCAGTGCATCTCGCGCACTGCGAGGCCTTTAGTGCAGCAGGGCCGCTCGGCGAATTGTTGTGGGACTCTACCTTGCACCCCCTGAGGTTGTATCCTTGGGTTTTGGGGGCCCTTTTTTAAGGGTTTTGTTTAGGGTTTAGGGTCTAGGGTTTAGGGTTTAGGGGGCAGGGTTTAGGGTTTAGGGTTTAGGGTTTAGGGTTTAGGGTTTAGGGTTTAGGGTTTAGGGTTTAGGGTTTAGGGTTTAGGGTTGAGGGAGGAGTATATCAAGGGAACCTGTCAGGGGTACATCCTCAGAAGTCCGAGCATGACTCCCTTTATAATTCGGGCCTATAGGGTTTAGGGTTTGGGGTATAGGGTTTAGGGTTTAGGCGGGTTTAGGGTTTAATTGCAAGATCCATTGGACCAGCCCTGCTCACAGACCATTGGTTGGGAAGTGTGCGTGTTTTGTTCTTAATTTTATGGGAGAGTGGTTGTCCAAATGATGGTCCCTTTTTGAATCCCCATTATAATACGGCACCTAATATTTAGGGCACACCCAAAAGGGATCATAATTTTGACAAGCACCCATGGAGCTGTTGGAGTTCAGGAGCTTAGGGTGATGCCAGAGTTTTTGGAAGTTTTGATTCGGGGAAGGTCTCAGGGCTGGGACTGAAACCTCATCGATCATACGCCCTAAGCCGTAAACCTCAAACCCTAGACCCTAACCCTAAACCCTAAACCCTAAACCCTAAACCCTAAACCCGTGGTTGCAGCTCGAGGTTGCGAGCTGGAGGCAGCCTTATGCTGCTGAACAGGCCGGGTGCAGCGCAGAATTTACCTGTGTTTGGGGTCTTGGGCGAGTTGAGGGTTCAGGGTTCAGGGTTCAGGGTTTAGGGTTTAGGGTTTAGGGTTTAGGGTTTAGGGTTTAGGGTGTTTAGGGTTTTTAGGGTTTGTAGGGTTTTTAGGGTTTTTAGGGTTTTTAGGGTTTTTAGGGTTTTGTGTTTTGTCCCGCACCTCGTAGGAGTGTGAGGACCCACAAAGGCGCCCCAATTTCGAGAGCTACCCTCGTAGGTGGTTTCAACCCTTATGAGGGTGTAGTCCCCAGTAGGATGACATCCTCATAGGGTTAAGGGTTTAGGGTTTAGGGTGTAGGGGTTGTACAACCTCATCCTTTCTGGTTTAGGTTTCAGGGTTTAGGCTTGCACAACCCCACCCTTAACTCAAATGACCATCGCAGACCGGGAACCTATCCCCTCTACCAACCCTAGTCTGGGCGCCGGCCGTGAACAGACTTAAGGTGTCGAGGTTAAAGTGGGGGCAATAGGGCATTAAAACCTCCAGGGCCGAGGCAAAGAGGGAAGAGACAACTTCAGGGTACAAGTTCCGGCCTACAGTCCTACCGTCCACGCACACGAGTGTGTGTCCAGCTTTGTCCATCAACCAGAAAGGCATCTCAAGAAAGACCAGCCCAGGCCCTTGGGGCTGCGGCACTGCTGGGGTGATTTCTCCACGCACAGCATCGCCGAGGACGGCACGGAGCTCTCCACAAATTGCAGGCACTGTCATGTGTGGTGTGATGTTGATTGCAGCCGTCAACGATTCTCTTCCGTAACGTAGAAGGGTGCAGAGAAGGAGAACGCCGGGTTCAATTGCTGTGCTGCAGGCCGGCGTTATGTCTACCTCTTGCAGGAGTCTTTGCAAAGCCTCCTCCATTGTTTCCAACAACTGGTCCTCAACTGCTGTTCCTGAGTCTAGCTCTTCCGGAGCCATGGCTGGGTCGAGAGGGCGTTGCCTGCAATAAGTGAGGCCAGGATGGGGCGCAGGCCCGAAGTGCCAAGTCGTAGCTGCTAACGCTGGCGCTCGCATGGTCTTGCCAGTGTCGTAAGTCGCAGTGACAGCCTGCGCCGGCGAACAGCAAGCGAAGGCAAGCAAGATGAAACCCCACCTGCCACACAAGGACCGGGTCCAACGCAAGAATGGATCAGCATTCAGCCTGCCCCCTCGGAGCGGAATTGCCCAGCACTGGAGCGCACACATAGATAGCGTGAGAATGGCCACCCAAGTCACTGCCAACGCGCGAAAGGCATCGCACACCTCTTCGATTGCACGGAGCGCCAAGAGACTGAAGCCAGCTGGCATCTCGACGGTGTTAGTCCTGCTGGGCTGGTGGAACAACATGTGTCCAGCGGGAAGGTATGAAGGCAGGGGGGGGCAGCCAAACATAGCGCCTTTGCAACCATGGTCTTGGGATTGTGCCACACACTGTGTGAGAGCCAGAGCTGAACTACTTGCTTGGGGAGGGCCACACGGGGTTAGGGAAGTGCTTGTTGAGCAAGGGGTGGAGCAGCTGCACGAACACGTGCTTTGCCAGACCCAAACCAACCTGCTTAACCTCGTGCACAACCAGGCATCCCTCAACCAACGCAACATGAGGTCGGCGCAGAACTTTACAGGGAGCTGCGACTGGGACGTCCATGGTATAGAAGGTAGGGAAGGGCAGCCAAATGCGGCGCCTTGGCGACCCTGAAGGTTCATGATGGCACTGCGCAACAAATGGCACGGTACCTGTGTGTAGTATCCTCTCGCAAGTGTCAAATGCTGCGAAAGGATAAGCAAAAGCAAAGGGGAGAAGCAACCAAAAACAGCGCTATTACACCTATCGGAAAGGCAATGAGGACAGGCCAAAGCGAAAAGTATCCAGACTTGTCGCCACAGGACTGTGTAGCCAGAGCAGAGACGACTGTATACCCCAACAGAACTTCCTGCAATGGAACTCAGGCATGTGCTCGCTGACTGCCGCATAGACATAGGGCGGACTGTGCTCGACCTCGCAGGGAGCTGCGACGGGGTGGACAGCGAGCAGCAGTCAGAGGCACCAGGATGTGTCCAATTGTCCAGCATGGACCACAGTGAGTGCACGCAACGGGCATACGATGCATGTGTCCTCACAACTTGACACCGACGGGCGACGCAACCTGACACGATGGAGATGTCCTTTTCTGAGAACCAACCGCACGGCTGGGGGAAGCACGTCACGACAGGCTTTTGCACGCGGATGAGGCGAGTAAAGTCAGCAAGGAGCCAAGGCAGACACAGGCAGCACTCACCCCAGGTGACCAACTCCTGCAGATGCGGGCCTTTACCCTTCTGTGAGGTGCACTGAGGTGTAGCATGACACGGGGGGGCAAGGACAGTGAAGTTGCAAACGTCAAGTGGCCGACGGTACAGCTGGAGGAACCAGGTGCGAAGTGGCTGCTGCGGGCGGATGAGGTGGACAATGCTCGACCTCGCAGGGAGCTGCGACCGGGTGGACAGCCCACAGTGGCCGAGAAAAAGTCGACGGGGACACCACACCCCAGAAACAAGACACCTGCCAGGCATGTGCACACCGACTGTCTGGCGCAAGGGGAGAGCGGGCCAAACTGACAGGAAGTGACATGGCAAGGAACAGGCCCAACATCCTGCCAAAGGCACGCGGAAGAATGCAGGAGGGAAGCTGCCGCCAAAAAAGTTGCGGATCCAGACCCTGAATGCATCGAGCGCTGGGGCATGCGAGCTGTGACAGGACAGGTGCCGAACGACAAAATGCGAACTGGAGGAACAGAAAGGAGCCGTGCTGCTGGTAGGGAACAACCGTGGACTGTGTGCAAAGTGGAAAGGCAAAAGGACTGCGCTGAGCTGGCCAAGCAGCTGCGTCATGGCACGCACCTTGGTGAACCCCACTAAGGAAACCCAAAGTCCCTGAACACCCAAGACTCCCAACTCCCGAACCACAAGGAAAAGAGTACTGAGGTGACAGCTGTACAGACTGCAGGCCAGAGTCCTAGCGTCCTAGCGAACATGGCCGAGCTTGTGTCGGCCCCTACTTGCTTCAGCACACTTTCATGTCTCACACTGACTGCTACCCATCCAGACCCTCCAGCTCGGATCCTGACTGCCCTGGCGGGCGGCCTTCCGCCATTTCGTCTGCAGCTATGTTGAAGATCTTGGTCTCCGGTGAGTCCACGCAAATGGGCCCATCCACGCCGTCGTCGTAGACAACGCCAAGCGTCCCAAAGTCTGACCCTGAAGCTTCTGCCTGTAGGCCCCTTCTCTGGTTGAGCTTGTCTGCCAACGTGAGCTTGTCCTTTTGCGCGGGCGGGGTTGGAGTAGGCCCACGCGGCCTGGCTCCCTCTTTGACTGAAAGCCTCGCAGCAGGGGATCTTTTGGGTCTGGCTCCTGTCGGACTGGCACCTGACCCCAAAGGAGGGGGCATGGCCGAAGGGGACACCATGTAAGGGTCCTGGGTGGCCTGCGTCGGAGTCCCAGCATACATGGCAACATGTCCTGGCACTCCAGGTGACGTTCCTGCGGCAACCAGTCCACGGGCCAGCCCCGGCGGGGAACGAGCCACGCCGGTCTTCCTCGTTGGTGTCTTGGCGGCCATCTCCTGGCTCCTCTGTTGCTGTCTGACTTGCAGGAACCTTTGCAACGACCTTTGTGAAGCTGCTGTGTCCTGATCCGCTTGTTCCAGGGCTTGCTGTAGCAGAGACTCCGAAGGATCTCCAGCCATCTCTGGGTCCGCATCCGCGCGCAAGAAGGTGTCCCAGGCCTCTTCGGCCGCTGCACTGCTCTCCGCTGCTTGGCGTTCTCGGCTCGTCTTTGGCTCCTCTGCAAGGGCTATGGCTCTCAACTCCTCTTCCGCTTGCTGGACCGCCCCCTGCGCGGACTCTATCTCTCCTATCAGTTTTCTGCTGTCCGCGTCGAAAGTCTTTTTCTGCATGAGGAAGTGCTTCTTGATGTCTGCCTGATACTGGGCCCACTGCTTGCACGTGGCGGCATAGTCCCGCTCCAGCTTCTTCAACCTGTTGGTGGCCTTTCTGCAACTGGTAACGGCACGCTGCATCACCTGTGCTAACGTCATAATGGGCTCCTCCGCTTGCTGGTCTACATGCTTCCAAGGAGTCACTCCAACCTGCTTGTCGTCCTGCTTGGCAAAGCTGCGGTATGACGGGAAAGATACCGTCCGGCTGCTCTCGCGCCTGTCCTCTGTGACAGGCTGTGTATTGGCCTGCCGCTTGGCCTTGGCACCACGCCAATAAGACCACTCTCCAGACCAACTTCCCCATGACCCCTGCTTGCCCATCCGTGCTCCTCTAAGGGAAGTCAACAATCGTTGCCTCTGCAGGGGCGGGGTAGCGTGATGGCAAGCAAGGATCCAACGCTGGCGTTGGTTGGATGTTCCGCAGAGTAGCCTCCTGCGAGCCAATGAGCGCTGTTTACGCGCTTGCCGATGCCACGGAGGCGAATATGGCGCGATCCTGTCTACTCTAACGCACAATCGTGCTGGGGCAATGGCAATACGAGCTCAGGCTCGTTAGATCCAAAACCCTCTAAACCCTACACCCTACACCCCAAACCCTAAACCCTAGCTCCTAAACCCTAAACCCTAGCCCTAAACCCTAAACACCCTACTCTGCAGCCTCTTCAGCGAACGTATAGGTGTTTCCACTAGCCAATCGGTTTGTCTGCGAGTTTATCGCGGGTTCTTCTTCATGGCTATTTTGAAGCCCTAAATCCCACATCCTGTTGAGGGCTTAAGGGTTTGTTCGGAACCCTCAACCCCCAAGCCCTAATCCCAAACCCTAAACCCTAAACCCTAAACCCTAAACCGTTAGGGTATCTTCATGGTCCCTTAGCATGGGCCGAGAGAAGGGGACCCCTTACATCACCCTAAACCCTAAAACCCTGAACCCTAAACCCTGAAACCCTGAACCCTAAACCCTAAAACCCTAAACCCTAAACCCTAAAACCCTAAATCCTAAACCCTAAAACCCTAAAGCCCTAAACCCTAAAACCCACTGCACCAGGAGGCACGACGGAAGTCACTCGAACTACGCGTGACATGCCGTGGCCGGCCGTTGTCCCTTGGAGCGTAAGAGACCGGCTTTGTGGGCATTTGGGTTACCCTACACCCAAAGAGTTTAGGGTTTAGGGTTTAGGTTTAAGGGTTTAGGATTTAGGGTTTAGGGACCCTAAATCCTGACTTCAGGGTTTGAACTCTTCTCCTCTGACTGTGGTAACTAGGGGCTCACAACCCTCAAATCTAAGTTTCCAAGCTCTTTAACCCCCAACGGCCCTCACCAACAATGATACAGCAGCAAGAATAAGCAATTGGAACATGATCAAGAACGGCGACATTCGGGGTGAAGAGTTCGAAATCCGGATGTGCAAGTGTAAACACATCTCGAAACTTGGAGGCTTGACCACACGAAGTTATTGTCTTGACAAGTTGGAATGGGCGGCACATATACAGATAATTCGCAGAAATTTACAAATGCATCCAATGGCTCTTCCTCCTCTCAAAGACTCTCCCTTGAGAGCCGCAAAAACCTTTAAACCAAGAAGCCCCCGATCTCCGATTTCCGAACCTCCAAAGAAAACTCAAGCCCTAACCTCCAACCTAAACCCTAAACCCTAAACCCTAAACCCAGAACCCAAAAACCTAAACCCTAAACCCTAGACCCTAAACCCTAAACCCTAAACAGCCCTAACCCCCCCTTAAGCCCGGACCCAGGTGGTGGGCAGCGCCATAGGCATTGAAGCCCCGGACGAGTTTTCGGAGATTCGCATGACGCGGGGCCCGGGTCCTACGATGCGTTGGAAAGTCATGGGCCCTGGCCGAGTGAGTCAGGTCCCACAAGAGGGTTTCGGGTTTAAGGTTTGTACGGTGTAGAGCTTTAGTCCTTTTTAAGGAACTATGCCTCCAACCAGAGGGGTGTTGTTGTCATGTGTACCCTAAACCCTAAACCCTAAACCCTAAACCCTAAACCCTAAACCCTAAACCCTAAACCCAGGTTCTCATCCTCAATTATTCGGGTTTTATGCTACGGGGAAGTTTTTTCGAAGCCGGCAATCGCTCGAACATCATCCGAACTCTTGGGTTGAATGAGCCCTAAACCCTAAACCCTAAACCCTAAACCCTGAGACCCTTTACAAAGCAGGTAGTGTGTTTGCTAGGGTGAGCCTTGACATCATGTGAAGGTTGGCAATTAAGGTTGGGGCCTACGGTTTAGGGATGAGAGTTTAAGGGTCTGGGGTGTGAAGTCGAGGGTTTAGGGTTTAGGGTTTGGGGTCGAGGGTTTAGGGTTTGATTTAAGGTTTAGGTGGGTTGGGGGCCTGGTATTTATTCTTCAAATCTCCCGCAAGCAAGCCCCAAAGCCCGAAACCTTAAACCTTTTTGGCTCTTGTTTTGTAGGGTATCTGCCCTGAGCCATCTCAGCCCTCGAAGCTCTTTTGCCTCAGTAAGTCTACTTAGCTTTCCCTAGAAGCCCCATTCTAATCCCCACAACCCACCTTACTTACCCTAAACCCTAAACCCTAATTCAACCCTAAACCCTCACAAGGCTCGCGCCTGATCATCCGAGATGCCTATGCTGGTATACTGGGAGGCCTTCTGTGTTCTTGGGTTTTCAAGCGCAAGCCCTAAACCGCATGAAGCCAGAAAACCCTGTCAACCCTATAGCCTCAACACTCTGTGCCTCTTGGATGTGGATTAGGTCTCCAAGGTGAACACGTGTTGCCCCAAGACAGACTCAGTCAGCAAGCAACCCTGAACCCAAATCCCTGCACACCTCTAAAAGCTTTACTCCTACATCATGCTGAACGACATGCCCTAGAAGCCCCAGCAAACCCCATACACCCTGTATCTCTAAACCCTAAACCCTAAACCCTAAACCCTAAACCCTAAACCCTAAACCCTAAACCCTAAACCCTGAACCTTCTTCAGGACCCCAGCATGAAGATCTCGGACCCCAAAGTCCCGAAGTCCCAAAGCTGGGCTTCGAAGATCAAGAGCCCCCAAAACACCGGGTTTAGGGTTTAGGGTTTAGGGTTTAGGGTTTAGGGTTTAGGGTTTAGGGTTTAGGGTTTAGGGTTTAGGGTTTAGGGTTCAGGGTTCAGGGTTCAGGGTTCAGGGTTCAGGGTTTATAGAAGTTTATAGGGGTTTATAGGGGTGTTACAAGGGCTTATGGGGTTTACAGGGTTCATGGGGCTCATAGGGCTTGTGGGGTTTAGGGTCTTGTTTCTAAGCCCCTTGAAACCAAAAAGCGCAGCCTTTTCCTTGGTTACTCTTGGGGTGCTCAGTTCGGTCCTTCACTTGGGCTTAGGATTGAAAGAATTTCTGGCATGGGGTTCTTGTGTAGTGAGGAGGGTTTAGGGTTTTGGGATTTTCATTTAGGGTTGGCGTCCTGTGATATGAGTGAACTAAAGGGTCCGCAAGGTAATGACCCCCTAAACCCTGAGAACCCTAAACCCCTATGAACCCTATGAACCCGGATAACCCGAATGACCCAAAAAACCCTAAGCCCCAAACCCTCAACCCTTAAACCCTAAACCTAACCCGAAACCCTAAACCCTAGATCCTAAACCCTAAGCCCTAAACCCACAAAACGCGCTCAAAAAACGAAGCCCGGAAGCCCTCAACCCGGCGAGGCACGAACTCCTCCTTCCAACTGAAGAGCTGCCTCTTTGAGGCGGGTGAAGGGTTTAGGGTTTAGGGTGTAGGGTGCAGGGTGTAGGGTTTAGGGTTTAGGGTGTAGGGTGTAGGGTTTAGGGTTTAGGGTTGTGGGTTTGGGGTTTTTAGGATTTAGAGTTCAGGGGCGGCGTCCATCGGCAATGGACGTGGGTGTTGATGGTTTAGAGGTTTGGGGTATGGGGATTCAGGGCTCCGTGAATACCAAACATGGGCCCTTTGCGTCTTCCAAAGTAATGTGAACATGCTGCTGGATAGTTTACATCTTCCCTTATCGGGGCCAAGGAGGGAACTTACTCTGAATCTGCTTCAGAGGGCTTATGCCTTCAAAGCCCTAAATGCCCCAAAGTGTAAACCTACACCTTCTCCCCTAACCCCTAAACCTGACACCCTAAACCGAAACTCCCCCTTGCAGGATCTGAACGACACGGCCGTAGCTGCGCCGGCCGCGCGCGAGTTACTAGTTGAAGGCCAGGCAAGCTAGGTGGGCTGCTGGGCTGTCTAGGGTGTAGGATGGCAGGGTTAAGGGTTTAAGGTTTAATTCGGGTTTATAGGGCTTAAAAAGGGTTTAATTAGGGTTTAATTAGGGTTTAATTAGGGTTTATAGGGCTTATAGGGTTGAATTACAGGGTTTAATATGGTTTGTATGGTTTATATGGCTTATATATATATATATATATATATATATATGGGATTCATAGGGTTTATTGCCGCTTGCCTTCGAGGGTTGAGGCTTTCCTTATGTACTTAAGTAGACCCTACACTACCCTTAATTCAGGTCCCTTACAAGGGTCCCTCCTTTCGCCCCTAAGTGTGGACGAGACCCTGAACTCATGGGAGAGTCCCCTCAAAAGCGGCCGACGTATTCCCTACGGCTTTAGGTTACAAGCCCAACAAACCTTAGACCTTCTAAACCGTCTAGACCCTCCAAACCCTCTAAACCCTTTAAAGCCTCTAAAGCCTCCAAACCCTCTAAACCCTCGAAACCCTCTTAACCCTCTCAACCCTCCAAACCCTACTCTAACCCTCTAAACCATATAAAAAAACCCTAGAGAAACCCCGACTAAACCTCTAAACCCTATTAAAACCCTATTAAAACCCTATAGAACCTATAGACACCCTATAGAAACTAGTAGAAACCCTTTAAACCCTTTAAACCCTTTAAACCCTCTAAACCCTCTAAACCCTCTAAACCCTCTAATAACCCCAAACCCTACAGAAACCCTATAGAAACTATTTGAAACCCTCTAAACCCTTTAAACCCTTTAAACCCTCTAAACCCTCTAAACCCTCTAAACCCTCTAAGAACCCTGACCCCTCACATGTGCACAGACGCGGTGGTGCGCAACATTGGCGCCGCGGGCTTCGCATGCCAAGAGCTCAGCCTGCAGCTGCTTTAGGGTTTAGGGTTTAGGGTTTAGGGTTTAGGGTTTAGGGTTTAGGGTTTAGGGTCTAGGGTCTAGGGTCTAGGGTCTAGGGTCTAGGGTCTAGGGTTGCTTCCCACACCTGAAAGTTGTTGGGCTCAGGGTCTAGAGTCTAGTAGGGTTGAGGGTTTACGGTTTAAGGTTTGGGGTTTAAGGCTTAGGGTTTCAAGTTTAGGGTTGAGGGGTTTCGTTCGGGCTCTTCTTGCGGAACATGAACAAACAGTTTTCGGGACAAGGCAATATACGCGACTTTGTCCGCCATGTACGACCTCACAAGTGACTTAGTGTAGTTCCTAAGGCCCGGGTATACTTCCGTGGCTAAGGACAGGGCTAGGGCGGCTAGGACAGGGCTTCCGTGCATGCTTTGGGGAGTATTCGTGACTGCAATGAGGCCCCCCCCCCTCCCCGCAGCAGAGAAGGCTTCGCGGATTGTACCCTAAACCCTAAACTCTAAACCCTGAACGATAAACCCTAAACCCTAAACTGACGGTCTCTGTACAGGCTTACATTGTAGCATATGGGTTAGGGTCCCTTGCGAGTGTCCACAGCGCCCTTGAGTTGGACCCTTCCAAAAGGATTCCAAGGGCTTAGGGTTTAGGGTCTAGGGTTTAGGGTTTAGGGTTTAGGGTTTAGGGTTTACCCACATATCCGCAACCTGGTTCGAGTTTCTGTCTTCGATGGAAGTCTGACTAGACAGCGCAGCAGCAGCGAAAGCGCCCAGAGACTGAGCGGACTTGAATTTCAGTGTGAGCCTTTTCCTAAGCCCAGGACCCTAAATAAGCCTAAGCCCTAGAAACCTCACCCCTTTTGGGCCAAAAAGCCCGTGAAGCCTAAGCCCCAATTTCACAGAAACATGGTCTGCTACTATTTAGTTTACAACCACCAAAAGACTGTTTAAGAAAGATTCCTCCTTATAAGGATATTTTGGGGATTTTGTGTTCCTTGTATTTTTGTTGGGGGGTTCTTCAGCAAATAGTAGTCTTGGGGCACCCAAGAAGCCACGAGCTTAGTAATTTACAATATGAGTCCTGGTAGAACCTGTAAGGCTTATGGGGTTTAAACCCTGAAGCCCTAAAGCCCTAAACCCTAAACCCTAAACACCCTAAACACCCTAAACTCTCTCAACCCCCTAAACCCCTTAAACCCCAAACCCTAGACCCTAAACCCTAAACCCTAAACCTGCCACCGAGGTGCCGACTGCAACACCTTGGAGTTGACCAGGCCTCCTCCCTTCCCTGCACTTACCATGAGTTCTGGAAAGGTTTAGGGTTTGGGGTTTGGGGTTTAGGGTTTAGGGTTTAGGAGTTTACTTGGCCCTTGTTGGTTTGCGTACTGAAACAAGAGCGCCCCTAGGACGTCAGGATTTCGGGTTTGTAGAGTTTAAAGCTGCTAGTGACTAGACCTCTATGTTTTGAGAATTGGGTCCTCATTCCAAATGAGGGTTTGTTTATTCAAAGAGGGGTATTGAACCTTGCCAAAACCCTAAACCCTAAACCCCAAGCCCTAAGTAAGTTTTGCAGTGAATCCTACACTGGCAGCCCCAGACCATGAGGCAGTGCACATCCCTAAGCCCGAAACATCCCTCTAAGCCTGAAGCCCTAGTTTACGAAGCCCTAAACCCCAAACTTCCCTCAACCCCCAAGCCCCAACCCTAAACCCTGAGCCCTTAGCCCTAAACCCTAAACCCTGAACCCTAAACCCTAAACCCTAAACCCCCAGAAGCCCGGCAGGATCCGGGGCCGCAACGTGGGCGCCTTGGTCCGAGCTTCTGGGCTCCACCGGCTGACGCTGCGGAGTGTGGAGGTCCCCCTCCCTCTGGGAAGTGTTTCTTTGGGGTTTAGGGTTTAGGGTTTAGGGTTTAGGGTTTAGGGTTTAGCGTTTAGGGTTTAGGGTTTAGGGTTTAGCAGCTCGGCAATGCGGTGGAACACATCCCTCCCCCACCCCCCCCCCCCCCGCCCCCACTTCGGCTAAAATGATCCAGCTTCAGTCATGTGTTGGGTTTAGGGTTTAGGGTTTAGGGTTTAGGGTTTAGGGTTTAGGGTTTAGGGTTTAGGGTTTAGGGTTTAGGGTTTAGGGTTTAGGGTTTAGGGTTTAGGGTTTAGGGTGTAGCATGTAGGGTGTAGGTTTTAGGGGTTTAGGGTTTTAGGGTTTAGGGTTTAGGGTTTAGGGTTTATATAGGGTTTAGGGGGGGGAAGGAAGGGGGGCATGGGGGGGGCAGCGAAGTATTGGAAATTCTGGCCTGGACCCTACAAAGCCCCAAAGACTCTCTGCCCTCCAACCACAAACCAAAAAGGCGGTTTAGGGGTTTGGGTTTAGGGTTTAGGGTTTAGGGTTTAAGGTTTTGGGTTTATAGGGTTTATAGGGTTTATAGGGTTTAGGGTTTAGGGTTCAGGGCTTGTTTAGGGTTTAGGGCCCTGTGGGTTTAGAGTTGAGCCCTTGTGGGAGGTGTACTGCGCATCCCGCGGATGCATCACCCTGGGGGCAGCACCCGTGGTCGCTCACCGCATTTGGCAAGTTCGGGTTTAGGGTTTAGGGTTTAGGGTTTAGGGTTTAGGGTTTAGGGTTCAGGGCTTAGAGTTCAGGGTTTAGGGCACAGGGTTTAGGGTTTAGAGTATCGGATTTAGGGTTGGGGTTTAGGTTTTCAGGTTTAGGGTTCAGGGCTGATATCGCGTTTCAGGGTCCATAAGGTTTCAACCCCCGACTAAGAGTGGGCCCGATAGGGTTCAGGGTTCAGGGTTTAGGGGTTGAGGTTTGGGGGTTAGGGGCTGCGGCTAGGGCGAGGTTTCCGAAATCAAAGCCCTTCAAACCAAGTTTCACCCTGTGAGCCCTGTTCCTTCAGCCTCCCCTGAGCCCTAAGTACCCTAACCATCCTCATAAACGAAGTCCGAAAACTGAACTATGAAACCGCTTTGTTGCAAGAGCTTGCATAGCTAAGTTAGCCACTCAACAAGATACCCTCAAGCACCGTAGAGCCCTGAGACCCTACACCCCAAAAAGGCCGCACCTACCATTTTTCTAGGGTGTGTGGGGCCAGAACACGCCCGACAGCCCATCATACACCTGCACAGGATTGACCCCTTAACTACCCTGAATCCTAAACCCTGAACCCCAAACCCTAAACCCGGAACCCAAACCTCAACCCTAGAAGCCTAACCCCATGGGTGGTAACTTTGGAGAGCCGTCCACTGCAGCTGGAGCGCGATGGGCTTTTTTCGCCTATGCGCGGAATGGGTTTTAGGGTTTAGAGTTTAGGGCTTGGGGTGTTGGGTTTAGGGTTTAGGGTTGAGTGTGTTTGGGGCGCCATGTCCACCGCCACTACGCCGCAAGATGCCCCAGCCTCAAAACTCAAAAACCCAAAACCCCCAGACCTAACTCTAAACCCTAAACCCTAAATTCAAAAGCCTCCTCAGGCCACCGACCCAAGAGGCCCTAAACCTCTCAACGCCCAAAGCTCAATTCCCCCCAACCCGAAGCCCTGAACCTGCAAAACTCGGCAAGTGTCTTGGCCTGGCTGCTGTTTTTGGGGGGGTGGGCTGGGTGGGGTGGGGGTGGGGGTGGGGGTGGACTCGGGCTCGTTTAGGTGGTTCGGCAGACCTTGCAACATATCTTCGTAGGCCCGATAGGCACGAAGTTGTTGTTCATGGGTTGTTAGATGTGTCGAGTCCTTTAGACTCATGTGGGTCTGGGCTTGACGGTCCTACCAAAATGATGCCCTGCTGCCAGCGCTTTCCACATAAGACCGCTTACCGACTGGTTATTTCTGTCCATTTCCTGCTCCTCTTGCCAAGTTGGTGTGGTGTGGGCGGGGCCCTGCGGACCAGGTGAGGCACCACGAGGCTTCGCTTTCGGTGGCTCCTGTTGGCTTTGCATTGTCTAGCACCAGGAGACAAGTCTTCTTTTTCGCAGGGGATGTGGGGTAGAGGGGACTTTGGGCCTCATTTCCGCGCCACAAGATGTTCCGCCATGTGAGCCAAAGCTAGGGAGTTGGTGCCGGTGAGTCACTTGCTCCCTTTGCCTGCTGTCCGGTTGCGGCCCGCGGCGTGCTACATGGCGTTCGTGATGCGTCTCTGCCTCTCCTGGAACTGACTGCTAGAATGTGTGGCTTCGGTGTGCATCTTGGAGTTGCTTTGTGTTTGCAAGATTTGTGGGTTGAGCACGCATGCCTGTTGTCGGTTGGAGGATGTAGTGCTGTAGTGCCAAGCAGGCCAGCAGCGGCTTGGAATGGAACGCGACCCTTGCACAGCGGCCCATGGTCCGGATCGCGACAGACAAGACGGCAATGCCTGCAGCCGAAGTCAAAATGTTGGGCTATCGGCATGCAAACGCCTTCGACTGGGGCGCCGTCGCAAGAGCTGCAGGTGGGCGTTATGGATAATCAAGCATCATTTAGAGGTAATAGGTAGAGTTAAGTCGAGAATGTGGTACAAGCTCAAAACTCTAGATCCACGCAATGCACACGCCGTGCAGGCGACGCTTCGGCTGTGGGAGCGTTGTATGACGCTTGCCGGCAGACCAAGTGGCGCCGCTCGGTGCGGCGGCCACTTTCTTTTGCTGCCACTGCCCAGTCCGGCCAAGTGACTGGCCCCTTGGGCGAGGACCTGGCCACGGCCACGGTGAACCTCGTGGCGTCAGGCCAACATGTTAACGTGAATCGCTGGTCTGCCTGATAATTGCTTATGATGACACCGCATCATTGATAAACGTGACATACACGTTGTGTTTTTGCCTAAACCCTAAACCCTAAACCCCCTAGTGAGGGGAGGGTCTTTACCCCTTGAACCCTAAACCCTAAACGACTTCCAAAAGAGTACAAGGTGATGGGAGGGGAAGGTGGCAGGGATGTACTCCTATGTGAGAGTTCACATGGGTTTGGCAACCCTGAACGAACCTGAAGGCTTCACTTAAACGGTTCTGAGGTGAGACGAGAGTGGACCCCTAGCCACACAAGTACACTTTTGCACATGAGCTCACCCATCATCGTCATGGTGAGATCGAAACAACTCTATGGCCCGTCCGTGAATCACAATCACCTACCCCCTGTGGTGAACCGCCAATGGTTGGTGTGTTTACGCCGTGCGGGTGGCGCGTGAAAAAGTTGTGCACCGACCCCCCACCCGCCCTCCCCCCCTCCCCCCCCGCGCGTTTTAAGGTTTTTTGGGGTGTAAGGGAGGGGAGGGGGAGGGTTCCAACACGCTAAACCCCAAACCCCAAGCCCCAAACCCCAAACCCTAAACCCTGAACCCTAAACCTTAAACCCTAAACCCCCAGAACCTCTAAAGGACCTTCAAGCGCGGCCGTGCAGTCCAGGTGCTGCCCCCTCAGCCATGGCTCCTGGAAGGCTTAGACATCCACTTGGAGGCGATACCGGAAACTAGGGTTTAGGGTTTAGGGTTTAGGGTTTAGGGTTTAGGGTTTAGGGTTTAGGGTTTAGGGTTTGGGGTTTGGGGTTTGGGGTTTGGGGTTTAGGGTCTTTGGTCTTAGGGTTCATAGTTAGCAATGGGGTTTGAGCTGGGGTTTGGGGGGCGATTTGGTTTATGTGGGGTTTTCTTGGGCTTGTAGGTTTCAAAATATCGCGTAAAGCCAAGTCGAGTCCTTGAGATTTAGCAGAGGGTCTTTTGGTGTGCGATGTGGGACCCGATGAGCCAAAGCCCTCAACCCGGCTTTGGGGTTTAGGGATTGGGGTTTAGGGTTTAAGGAGTTTTCACGCAGGCTTTTCTTATTTTCAATTGCCCGCAAAATGTTCCAATAATATTTTAGCGGGCAAATGAAAAAAGCTTAATTATTTTAATAATTCAAAGTGCAGAGCACAAGTGAATCAAATTGCACATGGACACAATGAGTGCGCGAATTCAATGAATGTCTGAGTCATATTGAGTTTTTCGTTTGCCGAGTCTTTTAGGAGAAGATCGGACAGGGAATAGAAAAGTTTCGAATTACAGGTTCTGCCAGGCAATTGAATATTCTATCGCAATTTCGCAACTCCTCTAATTAGAAAGACAAGATATATCTAAGCCCTAAACCCTAAACCCTAAACCCTGGAAGAAAGATTTAAATGCGAAGCCAAGGGATCGATGGAGGTCAAAAGATCTCTTAAGGCGCCCCGAGGAGGAGTCAAAAGATCTGAAGGGGTTTAGGGTTTAGGGTTTAGGGTTTAGGGTTTAGGGTTTAGGGTTTAGGGTTTGGGTACTCCTTTGGGGGGCCGAGAGGGGGGGGGGGGGGGGGGGGGAGGAGATGGAGGTTCAGGGTCCCCTAAGCCTTAAGCCTTAAACCCTAAACCCCGAAACTCCAAACCTTAAACCCGAAACCCCAACCTTAAGCCTTAAACCCTACACCCCTAAACCCTAAACCCCTAAACCCCTAAACCCCGACACCCCGAAACCCCGAAACCCTAAACTCTAAACCCTACACTCAGGGTTAGGTCCCCCCCAACCCCCCCCACCCCCCGTGCTAGGACGTGGATGGATCTGCGAAGCCCATGGTTTTGGACCTCCAAGCACCCAAGGCGGGTCGGGGTTTGGGGTTTGCGGTTTAGGGTTTAGGGTTTAGGGTCTAGGGTTTAGGGTTTAGGGTTTGTATCTTAGGGACTGGGTTTAGGGTTTGTATTACAGGGACTGGGTAGGTACCCTTGAACCTTTTCGATCATATAGAGCCCTACTATAGATGAAAGGTTTCCCTTTGGGGCCAGGCTGTTCAGCTCTTAGGTTCTGGTTGAGGGTTTAGGGTTTAGGGTTTAGGGTTTAGGGTTTAGGGTTTAGGGTTTAGGGTTTAGGGTTTAGGGTTTAGGTATGTGTGTATGAGGAATTAGGTAGTGATGCCTAGAGGTCCTGGCGCGAATTATGAGATTTTGACGTACGTATGTTTGGCCATGGGGAGGGTAGCCTAGCGGACTCAGCCAAGAATTCAAATCTGCAGTTCTGAGCAGGTTATGGCTCTGAAGCGGGAAGTCTACTGTTTCGAGCTCCTTTCGGGGATCAAGTGAACCCATGAATCTGAAATCACAAGCCCTTTACTACAGCTGCAGTGCCTGTTCGGGTATACGGGCCATAAACGATGGGCCAAAAACCCTAAGCCCCAAACCCTAAACCCTAAACCCTAACCCCTTTAGGATCTTGACCTTTTCTTGGCTGGCTCTCACGAGGCAACTCAGAGAGTAGAGAACCTATACAGTCCCAGTAGGGACGTACATGGCACCTACCAGCACTTCCGAATTCCGTTGAAGGTTTAGGGTTTAGGGTTTAGGGTTTAGGGTTTAGGGTTTAGGGTTTAGGGTTTAACCCTATGAACCCTCACCCTAGCCCAAACCACTTAGACTCAGACCTTACACCAGGTGCAAAGCGGGACACCTAAGCAAGTAGTATCCCTAAGCCCTAAACCCTAAACCCTAAACCCTAAAACCTAAACCCTAAACCCTAAACCCTAAACCCTAATTAAACCCTAAACCCTAAACCCTAAACCCTAAACCACCAGGTGCGAGGCAGTGTCACTGAGCTTCTTGCCACCTGCCCGGCAGGTCCACTCGGCCGCAGTCAAGTCTCCCGGGAGTCGAAACTGTTAATGGGTTTTGGGGTTTAGGGTTTAGGGTTCGGGTTTATGGTTTAGGGTTTAGGGCTTATTAGGGTTTAGGGTTTAGGGTTTAGGGTTTAGGGCTTGGGAGGAGAGTTCAGGTTTTCTCGGGTGTAAGGGTTTATAGGGTTTAAACCCCAACCCCGAAGATTCAACAAACATACCTCTGTGGTCCCACCGTTAGTTGATTCTGCCGTGCCTCGGTGCCAGCGTGAGCGATGGCCAGCGTAAGCCTTTTAACCCCAAACCCTACACCCCAAAACCCTAAAACCTCAAACCCGAAAACTGAAAGATTCCTTCGGGCGCAGGGCTTAGGGTTTGGGTTTTGGGGTTTAGGCTTACCTATAAACCCTACACCCTAAAGTGTAGGTGTACGGGTCTACGTGCCGAGTTCGGGTTCAGGGTTTCGGCTCGGGCTTGTTTTGCGGGGTCCATCGTGCCGCAAAATTGGGTAGACCTGGGCTTCGGGTTTAGGGTTTAGGGTTTAGGGTTTAGGGTTTAGGGTTTAGGGTTTAGGGTTGGGTTCGGCCGGTCCACACTAACAGTCAAATAACGCCGTGGCCTTATAACACACAGGCCAAACATAGCACCAGGAATCCCAGTCAATTTTAGCATTTACCGGGTGCTTCTTTTTGTGGGTCTGCTGGTGGTGACTGTTAGTCACATAGCAGCAGAAATAGCACCAGAAATAGCACAAACAATAGCACAAAAAATAGCACCAGAAATAGCGCCAGGAATAGCACAAAAAATAGCACCAGAAATAGCACAAACAATAACACCAGAAATAGCACCAGGAATCCTAGTCAATTTTAGCAGCTTAGCATTTACCGGGTGCTGTTTTTTTGTGGGTCTGCTGATGGTGATTGTTAGTCACATAGCACCAGCAACAGCACCAGAAATAGCACCAGAAATAGCACAAACAATAGCACAAAAAATAGCACCAGAAATAGCACAAACAATAGCACAAAAAAATAGCACCAGAAATAGCACCAGGAATAGCACAAAAAAATGCACCAGAAATAGCACCAGAAATAGCACCAGGAATAGCACCAGGAATAGCAGGAATCTCAGTCAATTTTTTGGCATTTACCGGGTGCTTTTATTTGTGGGTCTGCTGGTGGTGACTGTTAGTGTGGACCGGCCGAACCCAAGTTTAGGGTTTAGGGTTTAGGGTTTAGGGTTTAGGGTTTAGGTTCCCCTCCCCTAGCTCCCACCTTAAATCACCTTAAAAAAAGGTTTAATTACCCCCAAATAGCCTTAATTATGAGGGGAGGGGTGGAATAGAGGGGGGTAGTCGGGGAACCCATGACTCCAAAGCCCAAACCCCAAACCCGAAACCCGAAACCCTAAACCCTAAACCCTAAACCCTAAATCCTAAACCCTAAATCCTAAACCCTAAACCCAAAACCCTACCTGGGACCCTCTGCACTTAGAGTTTCAAGGGTCATACATACTAGGGGGGGGGTACATACTACGAATCTGTAGGTAAAATCGGGTCCCAGGTAAACCCAAGACCCCAAACCTAAACCATAGACTTTTAGCCTAAACCCTAAACCTAAACCCTAAACCCTAAATGGTAAGGCGCGGTCCCTCCTGTAGCCAAGCAAGGCAGCTTCTCTCTGGTGCAGCAAACCTTTGGGACAGCCACCTCCTCAGCTCTCGTGGTTAGGGTTTAGGGTTTAGGGTCTAGGGTTTAGGGTTTAGGGTTTAGGGTTTAGGGTCTAGGGTTTAGGGTTTAGGGTTTAGGGGTTGGCAAAGCCTAAGCCCTTGAAGCCCAAACCTGTACACTCATAAACCCTACAGCCCAGGGTCTAGGGTTTACGGTCCACAGACTTAACAACCTACTACCCCCATCATCTCTTCTGCTTCCCATGACAACCCTTCAAGTCCTAAACCCTAAGCCCTAAACCCTAACCCTTAAACCCAAACGGGTTTAGGGTTTCGGGTTGAGGCCTCAGGGACTGAGGGTTTCAGAAGGCCTCTTTATATAGGGCTTCGGGTTCAGGATTAGGTTTCAGGGTTTAGTGTCTAGGGCCTAGGGTTTCGGTCCACAGACTTAACAACCTACTACCCCCATCATCTCTTCTGCATCCCATGACAACCC